TTTCCTAAAAATTATTTATGACTGTTTCAAAAAAATTACCTAAAAAAATTAATATTTCCTTTTATTTTAAATCTGAAAAGAAAATCTTTAAAAAAATATTATTTTCTACTATTTCACGTTTTTGTTTTTCAAAAAAAATGAATAGAAATCCAATCTCAAATCAACACATTTCTAATAATAAATGAAAACACATCAAATTACAAATAATTCAATGCATTTTTCATAAATTGAAAATAAAAAATAGTGTAAAAAATATCATTTTTTCATAAAATGAATACCTCTAGTCATAAATAAATACACTCATTCACATGAATACACTACTATTCACAAATAAATACAATCATTCATACACGAATACATTGCAATTCACAAATGAATACACTGTTATTTATAAATTAATACACATTCTATCATAAATGAATACACGTGTTATTCCTAAATGAATACAACCATTCACACATAACTACAATGTTATTCATAAATGAATACACATGCTATTCATAAATAAATACAACCATTCATGCACCCCCTTCAAGAAATTATTACCAAAAAATTCGAAAATTATGATTGTGTTTCTTTCTTTGCCTCTGTTCTTCAGAAATTTTTCCAGCTGGTCCTCCTATTGCAACCATTCTACCTCCTGAACACTCAAGAAAAGATTAACACTCAAACAAAATCAACACTCCACGGTAAAATCAATATGTATAATTATAAAATCTTGTTGTGAGATATGGATGATCAAGAAACAAAAACACACCGATTCACTATAAAACACCAACACCCAAATATTCATACCTTAATCAGTTTCTATCAAAACAAACAAAGAAAAAGGAATTTTCGCTGTTCTTCTTTACATCTCTATCAATTTCTGTCAAACAACCAAACCCAAACACCCATCTAAACCTATTTATTAAACTTCATTGATTTACAGTCAAAATAAAAAGAAAAGAGAAGAGAATCATTACCGATTGAACCAACTGCCCCATCGAGACCCCTTCCCAAATTCCAGTCGAGACAGAAGAAGCGCCCTCCAGCCGCCATTGTTGTTTTCATTTTCTCCTCTACGAAACAGTGAAGCACCAGAAGTGCTTCTCCCACCCAACGATTGATCGCCTCCCCTCCTCGTGGTTGCGTGACCACCGAACAGCCCATCCACTCATCTTCTATCAACTAGAACAAAGCACCCACCAAGACCGACGACTCACACTTCACAGTCGGAAGAGATAAGCAAAACTTCGTTGCTTCTTCACGCCCAGCGGCGGCTGGAATGAGAGGAGGCCCTAGGGTTGTGAAAAATGCAAAAGCAGGGATATAGAGGGAGAGATACGAGAGAGAGAGAGAGAGAGAGAGAGAGAGAGAGAGAGATTGTAGGAATTGCTAAACATAGGTAAACAATCAATTACCATTTTACCCTTATAACAGTTTTAAAGTTACACTTTAATTCTTGTAATTTTAAGAATTTACATAAATAGCCCATTCGATAATAGCCTTAGATTTAGTTTTTTAAATGATTCAGATGTGTTCTCGCATTCTCAACCTTTTAGGTGTTCTTATTTGATCCTACTCCTATATATATATATATATATATATATATATATATATATATATATATATATATATATATATATATATATATATATATATATATTAGAGAGAGAGAGAGAGAGAGAGAGGTGTTGATGATGAATTTTTTTGCTTACCAAACCATGAGGGAGCAGTGTTTGTCACCAACAAAAATGATTGTTATATACTGTTAAAATAGATGATCTGGCAACAGTTTTTTATCATATATATATATATATATATATATATATATATATATATATATATATATATATATATATATATAATACTTTTTTTGATATATTGTACTCATCTAAATCATAAATTTTTGTATATGGTTGGTCATGTACAAATCAATTCTCTACAATAAAACGATACACAAATTGTTCAAAATGAGGCAATTTTCTTTTGAATTTATATAATTATATCTTTATTTTAAATTACTAATGATGTTCCAGTAAACTATTTTGCTTCGTCTCTATTAAAAAATATTTGGAGCTAATGTTATTTTTTTATTATTTGAACCTATCTTAATATTATGTACAATTTGAGTTAATGTTGTTATTTTTATCAAGTTTTTAAGTTTTTTAAAATGGTCAATTTATAGTTTAATTTATAACGAATTTCAAATAAACAAGCACATGCTATTTATCATTTTTAAATAAGAGGATAAAATAGTCACATTTACTCCTATTCTGACATTTCATTTGGTTCAAAGAAGAAACCAATACTTATGTTATACGTTAACCGTTAATCTATAAAGGACTCAACAAGAAAATGCCATGAATAATAATGAATGTATTTCATTGCTAGAAGAACTATCTCTATCAAACCAAAGATGGTTACACAAATTTCCAACATTAGTCACTCAAATCCTATATTGAACTTCACTATCAACATATGTTTTTACAACATGAAAATTTGATCTTCTTTACATTTGAAGAAAAAAGAAGAAAAACAAAAAAAGACTACATATGCACCTATTGGCAAAAGGCCAACAATTACCATACAAATTTCCAGCAACAACCATCTGATCAAAATGTGTTCTACAACATGCAGATCTGATGTTTGTTGCTAAAATTTGTACAAACTTCTTTTTTCCATATAAAAGATACACATTTGAACTTTAATTGGATCACAATAGTTGAAGTACAAGATTTAGTTCTTGTGCACTTCTTGCTGTCAAACCACCCCGCCTACAACCAAAAACAATCAATAAAAAAATTTGTTCCCAGATCTTGAAGTTAATGTCATTAAGTTCAAAAAACATTAGTTTACCTTATAACATTTGGGAGACTTTTCTGGATCTTTTGGAGCTCCACATGGCATTCATTGCAGCATTCAAATCTGTCATAAAAGTCGGATTTTTATGGAATCAGATTCAAATATCTTACTAGTTATATGCAAGAATTGGCCTTTTAAACAACAGTTTATACTTTATACAAACCTTTTTTCTGCATGAAGATCAACACCCACAGATGGAGGTGCTGAGATTGTGGAGGTGATTAAAGGCCAAAACACAGCTACAAGCTTCAACAACATTTCCAATGACACGTTTATATGCCTCTCTATGTTGCTATCGAGTAATCCCAAAAGTAAAGGCAACAAGCAACAGAAGTGATCTAAATTTAAACACTCTGTGTTTTCCAGCATAACACTAATCACATCTGCATGTACCTTGAATCAATCACACAAAATAACATGTCAAATGTTATGCTACAACACAAAGTATTTTTTGTAAAAGTAAAACCCTGCAATGAATGAATGGTTAAATACTCACTGCATGATCTGGTAACTTCTGCAAGGCATTAATAGCGCCCCTCGTGTCATTTCGTGCCCAAAAATGTCCTATAACCTGGTCGATCCAATCACAAATAAAACAAAAAGGAAATTAATTTAGAAAAAAGAAAGCACCCAAAATTTTTAAACCACGTGCTATGTTCATTTCATTTGATTAATAACAATACTGAAAATCAACAGGCACCTGAAGTTTTGTAAGGCGAGATTGAAGAGTGCTTAAAAATAACTCATGATCAATCATCAAATCTTCAGTATCATCATTCTTACACATCAAACCTCTTCCTGTGGTCTGTGGATTATCCTCCTGCCAGTTGTTAAAACTTAAAAGTAAATCTATTTGTCACTTTTTGTTGAAATTAAAATATATATATATAACTTTCTTTTTCAACAAAGGGAAAGAATCTTACCAACAAGGGAGAAATTTTAGGTTTTTCAATTGTCATATGTGTAGAAGTAATTTGCCTTGGTACAGCTGGCAGAGGTGAGGTTCTGGTTCTAATTCTACTTCTTTCAGGTATCACTTGAGAAGAAGCTCTAAATCTTCTTGCATCCGCCATTGGAGGCGACCTAACTTTTTCCGATATTACCCTTTTGGAAGCAACAGGTCTTCTCTGAACTGATAAGACCTTAGCTTTAGGGGAAGCTTTAAATGTCACAGGTGACAATTTAGCTTCTGATACTGACAAAGACGCCATATCATCATCAGGTGTCTTTATTGGTGACGTGGCAGTTTCAGGTATTGCACATGACACCACATTCACAGAAGGTGGCTGCTCTACAGTGTCACCATTTACATACATGTTATCTGTATTAGGTTTTTGAGATTCTTTTTTCTCAAATATCTCAACAAGATTGCGCGTCTTTCCATTTGAAACTGCAACACATTTAACAGGTGTCGACCTTTTGTTGGAGGAATCAATCGCCACATCATCAGTAAAAAGTCTTCTCTGGATGTTTGTATTTGATCCATCTTTTCTAGAAACAACAGGAGTCATGCCTGCAGCTTTAATTCAAACAGTGAGTGTTACAGTAAGATAAAATAGGTAAAAGATTAAAATAATTGAGATAACAACTTACTGTCTACATATATATTCTTGATATCATTTGTGTCATCATCTATAAATGACCTTCTTGGAGTCTTAGTTTCATGGAGATTAGTTTTTGGCTCCACATGAGCTTTTTCCATGGCTATCATGTTATGTGCATATGGTTCGATATGCTTCAAAAACAGAAAGGTATATAAGTAAATGATAAATAATGTGAAATTATTTAAATCATGGAAGGATAAAGATAGTTACTGAAACATCTGCTTCCCAAACTCTAATAGAGTTTTGATAATATGAGAACCCTAAAAGCTTCCCATCATCAATACAAAGGTCACCTAAGGTTGACCATCCTATATCAACAGCATCATGACAAATTATAGGCTCCCATGAATACACCTTAAAAAAAGTCAAAGTCAAAGTCAAAGTCAAAGTGAGAATTATAGTTTCCAAAACGCAAACTATAAAAACTAATGTCAAAAAGAAGAAAAAAATTAGAACCTTTAAACTGTTGTCTAATCCACAAAAGAGTGTTCTTCCATCTGGATGAAATGTAACTGATCGTACCCCTGTTGCCTGTGTAAAATCAATAAACAAGTCATAAAAGAAGGATTGTGGGCCCACATTGATACATAGAAGTTTCTAGATGTATACCTCAGCCCGAGTTGTTCCAATCAATTCAAAGGTTTCCAAATCCCAAAATTTCACAGTTCTATCTGATGAACCTGGAATTAAGTTTAAGTGTTTATTGTTTAACACACACATCATCAACAAAAACATAGAAAAAAAATGGAGAGAAAATACTCAAAATAGAAGCCATTGTTGGATGGATACAAACCTGTTGCTAGAAGAAACTCGATAGGGTGGAAATCCATTGATTTAATGTGGCCTTCGTGTAACTTGAACTCATGCAAGAGCTTTCCAGCAGTTAAGTCCCATATCTTTACAACATTATCAAGTCCTCCAGACACTACCCATCTTCCATCAGGTGTAAATCTGATTGTACTAATTGCACGTTTATGACCCTTATATGTATGAATGCAGCCTTTCTTTCGAATATCCCAAATCTTCAAATTCGTATCCATGGATCCTGATGCAAGAAACTCACCAAAAGGATGGAATTCCAAGGAAGTGCAGTAGGATCGGTGTCCATTAAGCGTTCGAAACACTGAATTTGAAGAAAAAGAATTAGACGTCGAGTAAAAATAAAAAGTACTACAGAGACGTAAGGCGATTACATAAAAAGTCATAAATACCCTTTGTCTCTTCTAGCTCCCAGAGCTTTACCACGCCAGAGGACGCTCCAGCAGCCACCAACACTTCGTTTGAATCAAAAGTTACAGATTCTATAGGGCTCGTGTGGCCACTTAAACTCTGCATCAACAAAAAAGATATAATAGTTTAGAATCATTTGAACATTTTCTTCAATTCATTCTAGTTTTAAAATCAGAAAGATGAAGTTTGGGTATTGAGGCTATATATGTCTTTTTCATTCATGCCGCTGGGGGTAATAGAGGAAAATACCAATTTCTAACTTGTTTTGAAAAACTGAAGTGTGAGAAATCGTAATTTATTTCCACAACTGTTTAACAGCATGGTGAGTTTGAAGTAACTATTGTGAAAGAATAGTATAATACTGTATTTTCACACTCATGATTCATACTAAGAGCATCCACAATTGGAGAGATTTTTAGTGGAGCTTTTTTCATGAAAAAACTCATTGTATCTCCTACAATAGGAGAGCTTTTTCAATTTGCTTTTTATGGGATGTTTGTGTTGTTGTTTAGTTACAACTGGTTGAAAAATATGGGACCCACAAAATCATTGAAAAAGCTCATGAGAAGAGCTTGTTGGTTATCAAGTAACTTGAAAAAGCTTTGATTTCAAAAAGCTCTTCTAAACCCAAGCTCTAATAAGCATTGGAACAAGTTGGGGCATTTTAAGGGTGTCACATTCCAAATTTGCATCTATGTCATATTATTGTTCAATAATACCAAAATTTAGCGCCATATAATACACCTAGTAAGTCCATGCCATATTTAAAAAAAAAAAAAAAAAAAAAAAAGGAAGTGAATACTGACCGTTATGGGTGCTGCTTTCCCAATTGACCAAACATTCACAATTTCATCATCACCTCCAGTAATAAAATGTCGTCGTGTTTTCTTTCCAATTTTGATGCAGTTCACATTAGCAGAATGTGCCACAAATTCCTCTATATATAGATCAGTCAAGAAATAACAAACCCTAAATTTGGTTCACGCTTGAACATATGAATCTTCATCAACCCTAACCCATTAAAAAACAACACGACTTGAGAGACTATATGCTTAAACTTGCATTTGCATAAAAAATTCCATGTATCTTTGTTTCTCTTGTGTCTTGAAACAAATTTGATTTTCTACTAGGACTTATAGACAGTGATATATCTGCTATAAAATTTTACACCAGAAGAAATTTTTGTTTTTCGCAATCGATCTTGAATCCGTAGCTAGGGGGAAAACAGACAGAGCAATCAAAACAAGCATTTCTGACACTAAGGCACCCCAACATATATCAAACATTGCTGAAATAGAATTAAGTCGTAAACTGGCTACTTCTATGAAAATTATGAAAACGCTAATTTCCTAAAACAAATTGGAAGATTACTGTCCAAAGCATGAAATCAGCCGGGGTTCTTAAAAAGACCAAGAGAGAGTGAGAAGAAATCAGAAATTGCAGAGCGTCTACTTCTATAGATGAAGAGAGATGAGATGATAACGACTTATTCATATGCCAAACAAGTCCAGGAAAGAATCGGCCAAAATTCAAGTAAAAAATGTCTAAATTGCAACAGAAGGTAACAAAGGATACGCAGTTTATATCCGCGTTTCGCCATTAAACTTGAACTCGATCGAAAAAGAAACAGGTATTCTTCGTCTTCGTTGTCGGTGCTTTAGTGACGTTGATGATCTTTACGTGTCGACTGATCAACTATGCAATGTCGATTGAAGAAGACAAATACAAACTCGTATTATGTATAAATGTATATGTACGTATGTACAAATATACACCGATTTCTATATACAAAATTGAAAGAATCCAAATGCTGCAATCAGGGGTTCTACGAAAAATCCACCGGAGAAAGATTGGAATTTTACTTTTTCTCGAGAGCAGAGCCTGGGTTTGCCGGTAGGTGGTGTGCACAGTTTTTGAAAGAGAGAGAGGGATTTTAGAGAGAGAAAGTTGTTCGGAGCATGATTGAAGTTGAAGCCGTTTATTATTTCTTTTTTAAGTTAACAAAAGCTTCTAATCATTGTATTTCAAAATCTATTACCACATATAATTACATATATAAACTCAGATATGCTAACCTAACCAACCCATAATAATATATTTTGGTTGATTTTCAATTTCATTATTTATAAACATATATTTTAATTTAGACCCTTTTAATATATATTGATTTTTACTTTAAAAAGACAAAAATTACTTAATTAAAATAAACGAGCATTGCTTTTGTGCGTAAAAGTTTAGTAACAATTAAAAAATGGAAGATATTAATCATCGTATCAATTTTAATGGAATACATTTTGAACAAGTAGTATAGCAAAGTGGCTACCATCGTGGTTTTGTGTAAAAATCATATAAAATGATTAAAAATATTACATGATAAGTTTCTATATTATTAACTTTTACATAAAATAATAATATTATGTTTTATAATTCAGTAAAAAAATTACAATAAAAGAAAGTTTGAATTCAGTTATACGGACGAAAGAGCCCCCAGATTTGAAAACCTACGGTCACAAATGAGTAATTTACAGGAAAATCGTTTTGCTCTTTACACACTTTGCCGACCTAACCTTTAGGCCCATACTGATGCTCCTCCACAATGGATTTTTTTTTTTTTTTTTTATATATATTTTTTCAATTTTCTTTTTTTTAAATAGTACTTATGGGTATATAACTAGATTTTTTCTTTTATAAAGCAAACTAATCTACTTTTATAAATTACTGCTAGATACATCTATGTTTATTAAAAGAATTGAACCCCCATTTCTCAAAAACTAAGGCAATACATGATACCATTGAGTTTCTTTTTAGTTATTGATATATAACTTAATAACTAGATAACTTTTATATTTACATTTTTTGTTCTATGTGGTATATAACTAGATAACTTATATATTTTATAAATTTTCTTTTTAAATAGTACTTATTCGTATATAACTAGATAACTTTTACAGAAATTATCTGATCCTTATAAACGAGTTTGTAAATAAAAATAATAACTGTAATTTTTTATTTTTGTGAGAAATGATCGCTCTCTCCAGAATATCATATTCTAGAGTACGTAATATCATTCCGGACATGGGTCGTTCAAAGTATTTATTTTCATTCCGGAATACAATATTCCAAAGTATTTATTTTCGTTCTGGTGGTGGTTAGTAACGGGTTGTTTGTTTTTTATGTGAAGATCTACACAACCACTTTTGTCTACGTCGCCCAGACAACGCGTAGATATATGCGCTCGCAGATTGTTTGTTTTTTAGAAGTACGCAGATCAAAAAACGTCAGCGTGAGTTCTTCCTATCGCAGACATGGGCTACTGTCTTCAAAGGTCTTCAGACTTCATTTTAACCTAAAAAAAAAGTCCACCAGTTTTTTTTTCTTTCTCTTTTTGCTGAAAATGCATTTTAAATGTTTATTACGTGAAATTAAGTTTGAAATTTTAATTTATTTCAATAGCTGCAGACGTTAAAAACAAACAGTCTTTTTATTGCAGACTGTAGACATTTGGTCCACCTCTTCTGCTGCAGAGGCTTGCAGATGTGATCCGCAGACTGCAGACATTTTGGCTTCAAAAAAACAAACATCACATTAGAATTGGGTCTAAAATTAGGGGTATTTGTGTGGTTTTGTTTCATATATGTAATATATTTGTGTGTTTGATACTTTCTTTATACATTCCGAAATGAGTATTTTTCGAGTGTCCGTTTCTAGTGGAGGACAATGACAGCGTATCGAGGAATCTATGCAATATATTGCTCCAGACTACACATGTAATGGTGTAGATATAAGTAATGATATCAACTTCGATGCGTTAATTGTATTGGTTGCCTTAAAGTCCAGGTTACACACTAATCACATACGTTTATCTTTTCAATATATCTGATCAAATATAGTCATGCGGATTCTTGACAATAGTGATATCAGATATTTTGTTAGTTTTATTAGTAGTATGTCTCCTAACACAATATAATTGTTTGTTGTTAATTATGTTATGGAAAGTGGTATTCATCGATTTGTCGGGGAAAATCATCCGGGTGGAAATGGGTCTTCTGGTGTTGGCAGTAACCAATTTTGTAATTTATTACCTATGACAACCAATCATGTTTCTTCTTACAATGGCTATATAGATCAGGGTGATTAATGTATAAAGGTAAGGTTGTTGTTGATGCTTTTTCGTATAGTTGATGTTGATGAATCTGCAAATGATGAGGCAAAACTAATGATGTTAGTTGATGTTGGTAATATAATTCCACATTGAGAGCTAGTTGAACATTTCCAAAGTTACATTGAATCTGAGAGGGAAGATACTAAAAGTGAAGAGGAGGAAACAAAGCCCTTACAACTCTGAAAACCACAAGAGGAGAAGTTTCCTTTTTATTTTTCCGATTCTTAAGAAACACAAACCACTCATTGGGGTATGTCTGAACCATTACCATTTTCCAAATTATCTTAACAAAAACATAAATGTTCCACAGCTCACAATTATACTTTCTGTGTGAAGTTACACCAACTCTTCAAAAGAAAAGAAGAACTTAAGCTTAATTTAGGATTCAAATGTGTTACTGAAGGCTTCCAATATAAAGTGAAAAAATCCATAAAAGACAAGTCTAAAGCTATTTTCTTTATGGATAATTGTGACTGGCGGATACAGTCAACAAAACATAATAGTACTAATACATTTAAAATGGTAAATCTATCGGAGAGGCACACTTGCTCAAAAACACAACTACCTCCCTATCACCGAAAAGCCAATAAAAAGGTATTGGGTCATTTCATGAAGGGCATATTAGCTAATAGTACAAGTAATATGTTGTCCGTTGTGTGTGTGTGAGAGGGGGGGGGGGATACAATGAACATTATATTTTAAATAACCATCCTAGTGTACATAATCATATTGGGAAGCATGGGGTGTCAAAATGTATGTTTTAAACCTGTTGAGAGGGACCCCTGAAAAAAGCTTTCAAAGACTACATTTATATTGTTACAACTTGGAGAAGAAGAATCTAGGGACGATAACACATATAAAGACGAGTTATGACAAAAAAAAAAAAAAAAAACGGAATACATTTTCATGGTTATCGGTTGCGCGGTAATATTTTTTATATAATGAGTTCTTTATATTTATTGTTGTTACATGTATGACAACCCTGAAAATACATCACTACCCGTCGTTAGATTCTAACTGTGTCGGCAACAAGTAATGGGACAACCATGTAACCATTCGATATATATATATATATATATATATATATATATATATATATATATATATATATATATATATATATTCTATTTTGTCTTTAATTATGTCAACCTTCAGACGTAAAATTTAGTGTGCGAAAAATCGTGTAACCTTGAGAGCATGGTTACATACGCGTTGTCAGGATTCCAAAAATATAAACTTCGTAAAAATACGAATTAGTGTGGAGGAGATATAATTTTTATGGTAAATAAAAATCTACCGCACATAAAAAGTTACAACGTCAAAAACAACAAGGAGAACGGTCGACTTTTGGCGAAAGTCACCAAAAAGAGAAACATAGTACTACTCAAAGTTGGAATTTTGAGATGAAGGATGCCTAAAACGGAAACCATATGTAAGCATTGTGATGTTTATAAAAACATAACGGTTATAAAACACAGGCTAAAAACGAAAGTTGGAATTAGCCAAAACGACCAAAAGGGAGTTATAATGTACATTGAAACCTATACAAATATATAAGTCGTTGAAAACGGAGCTTGTATACGAGTGATACGAATTTTTGAAGTTTGATTTTCACCCTCATGCGCACTCACAATCAGTATGTGAATTGAACCTGACGCATGTATTCGTCAGGATACAGATGGTGTGGCACGAGGAGATAATGACACGTGGCCGCTACATGTGGATCACGCGTAATTTTGCAGCACACAGTGCGCAATGTGCACTAAAAAATTGGCTATAAATAGTAGGTTCTATCATTTCATCTCCCCACACCTCAAAAACACACCTCTCTCTCTCTCCCATCTCTCTCTCTCTCTCTCTCTCTCGTTCACTCAACTTTCGTGCCACCGATTCCCGAGTTTCAGACTTTCGAATTCTATTCTACATCAGTGGTTTCATGCATCAAGGGTAACTTCACGACCCCACTTTACCTTTTTCAAACCTTTCAAGAGGGGGGATACATGTTATTGTTGGATTAGGTGTCTAAGTCCATAACTATAATTGGTATTTACTTGACCTAATAGTAGCATGGTCATTTGGGGTTGCCTTCATCGGAGCAATTTGATAGGATGGATATTTGAGAAAGAGGTTATTTGTGATTTATTAATATATGGAGACAAACACAGAGTAAATCCTGGAATCATTTCCCTAATGAAAGCCAGAAAGTGTTTGGCGAAGGGATGTACATCATATCTAGCATTCGGCATCGCCCTGTGTTATTTGTAAAGAAGAAAGACAGGAGCATGAGAATGTGCATCGATTGCAAAGAGCTGAACAAAGCGACGATAAAGAACAAGTACCCGTTACCAAGGATCGATGACATGTTCGACCAGTTACAGGGTTCGAGCTATTTCTCGAAGATCGATCTTAGGTCGGGATACTATCAACTAAAGGTGAGAGAGCAGGATATCGAAAAGACTGTATTCAGAACAAGATATGGACACTATGAATTTCTGGTTATGTTTTTCGGACTAACCAATGCCCCAGCAGCTTTCACGGATTTGATGAATAGGGTTTGTAAACCATTCCTAGATAAATCTGTGATAGTATTCATATATGACATCTTGATTTATTCGAAAAGCAAGCAGGAGCATGAAAATCATCTGCGTGAAGTGCTAGAAGTCCTAAAAAGGAGAAGTTGTATGCAAAGTTCTTTAAATATGATTTTTGGATTCAAGAAGTCCAATTTTTAGGTCATGTGGTCAACCAAGAGGGAATAATGGTTGACCCAGCAAAGATTGAAGCTGTGATGAAGTGGGAACAACCAAAAAGCCCTACGGAGATTTGAAGCTTTTTAGGATTAGCTGGAT